ATCAAGTATTCAGAACAAATTTTGAAAATATTGAAGAATTGAAAGATTCAATAAGGAGTGCCTGCATCGCTATCACTCCACAGATGTTAGAGAACTGCCACAAGCACACTATTCCTAGAGCAAGTATTTGTTTAAGAAATGATGGAAGACAATTTGAACATTTGATGCGATATCGCGAGAGACGGTAACTTAAAAAATGTAACGTGAGACATTCCGTTATAGTGTTCATAGCAGCAGTTTTCTGCAGATATCTCAGAAACCGTTGATGATTTTATAGATCTGAAAATACCAGTGTGTTGCATCCCTAAATAGGCAACTTTTGTTCCATTCAACCGTCCTTGTAGGATCTACCGTTTCCGAGATAGCAATAGTGGTATCAGCTAAAAAATACGGCCTGTATAATAGGGACATCTCACTATTGAGAAAATATACTGTCTATCAACTTGGAATAGTGAAACTGGAATTGAACGTCAATGATTCGAAATGCTCAAGGGTTTTCCAAAATTATAAGTGAAACTTCATTTCCAGATATCAATTGAACAGTTTACAAAACCGCAACACGTCTTCCGAATAGCTTCCTTGAGAGTTAATACTATACAATATAAAAACACTTGAGGAACAGTTTACAAAACCGCAACACGTGTTTCGTTATGCAATAGCTTCCTTAAGCTTTCATACTATATAGTATAAAAACACTTGAGGAAGCTATTGTATAGCGAAAGGCGTATTGCGATTTTGTGAACTGTGAAAATATCTCAGTGAAGTGTTGATTGAATATGTGATGTATTTTCATCAAAAATCGGCCAATTCCATCACATACTAATAATGTAATTTTGAAACTAACAATAATCCCAAAAATGAAAAATTTTTAGAAGCCTAAGTGTTGAGTACTGATGTCTATGGAAGCACAAGTGCAAAAAAATGAATGAGGCGGCACCACAAATCGATATTATAGAGAAAGTAATTGAGCCGAGTGTTTGAATACAGTTCTTTGTAATGATTTTTTAATATAATGGCAAAATATATTTTTGCAAAGATATGTACAGGAAAACGTGGCAATTCATAGAGAAAACTACCCACTACCAGCTCGATTAAAATGTTCTGTTAAAAATGGTAGGATTAAATCCTATTTAAACCATTGGCTATCGATTGATCGTATTTTTTATGCTTGTGAAAAGCTACTCACTATTAGACATGTTAAGAATAAGAATAAACCTTTCAATACACTCGTAATACATACAAAAATACGTTTTGATAATGACATTTCCTGAAAAATATATTCGATATCCTTCAGGACTGTTCACAAATTGCTCAAAATTGGTTCTGTGACAGATAAAGCTCAAGATATCTAAAATGTATGTTATAGATTTCCTGCATTAAATTCATGTATTATTTTCTTGCACTCCACAGATCTATATTTGATTAATATTTTGGAATTTCCTTGATTTCTGCCCCTGGATGTTCCACTCACCTTTCAGCTTTTCAATTACTTTCAA